GAGCCAGGCTTATGATGCAAGAAAGGCTAAAATCTTCCAGACAGTAACAACCAAYCATTTCCCATAATGGGACATACTTAACAAAAGCCCCAGTCTGAACATTAAGTAGACATGTTCAGAAAGAGAGCTATTTTATCCAGCACCCTAATTTCTATTTAATATATAAGTGCTCCKGGCACAGAACATCATATGGAAGCATCAGGAGACAAACAACACTTACTMCTTCCCAGCAGTCAATTTCAAAATAAGACAAATACATTAGGAAATGGGAATTMATTTACCAGCTAAACTTTCTCCCTGGCTCCTTACACTGTACTGACAAACATGTTTTCATGGAGGCAGAGCAGTTTTGCAATTCAGGCTCTAAGCTGTGCCATTAACAGAGGGCCTGGGAGAGCATGTTGGAAAGCAGCATAAGGTGAATCTCTGTCTGTGTGTACCTGAAAAGTCCCACCCACGGGGCAGGGAATGGAGCCTGCAGAACCATCAGCACACAGAAATAACACAGAAATAACACAGAAATAACACAGAAATAACAGAAACAGAGCAGCCTTCAGCAGAGGGTTCCACAGGAAGAGCAAAACATCACCTCTGCCATCCAAGCGAAGACGAGTCGCCCGTGCAGCTCGCATGGTCTCACGTCACCCAGAGAGACCTCAGAGCACCAAGGCCAATGCTCAGTGGCTCGAGCACAGGGCTGCTCACTGACCTTCATCCYACTGGATTGCCCCAGGCAGGGATGGAGGGGCAGCTTAGCACAGGCACTTTGATCTCCCTTCACGCAGATGCTTCCATCGATCCGCTGCCACCCTCAGCGTGGCATGAGGCGACCAGGCCGTCACACGAGCTCGTGGGAAGCTAAATCATAGATACAGCTTCAGATCTGGATTCAGTGAGGGATAAATCACTGAAATACGGCCATAAAAATCGTGATGCCTGGAAAGGGCAAAGCTCTCAAAAAAAGATGACTCTTCAATTGTTTCAAAAGACTCCCAGTAAAACAAAATAGCTGGTGCCTATATGTAATGGGTCCCCTCCTTTTGCAGCAAGAATCACAAAGCCAGAATTCCCCAGCCACTGCAAATCAGAGGTTTCTATCAGATGGTGTAGCTTGGCCAATCTCTGCATATACAAACTGGGAGAAAAACAGCAAGCCAAAACAAGAGTACTACGGTGCATAGTAGCCTGAAATGACATTCAAGTACCAACAACTATAAGGATTTCTTCCCTTACAGTTCTTAAAACGTGCTTTAATTCATCCTTTTCTGCACCTYCCACCTTCAAATTGTTTTGAGAGAAAGCATCTGTCAAATCTCTACACATGATAAATCCAAATATAAAAATGTCCTTTGTGTATTATGATTTGGCTTGCTTGGAAATGTTATGGACAYAGATAGTTTGTGCAAGAATTGGAAAATCATCAATGTTTTCCAAACAACAGCACCTCTCCTCTTTGTTCTTTTTTTTCATCTAGAGTGAAGTGTGTTCAACTTTGTGAAAAATCASCCTCCAGATAATAATGCTGCAATTGGTATGGTGGTTTGGGCATTGGTTTTTTTTGTTTGTTTTTCTTCTGGATTTATTGTTGTTGGCTTGATTTTGTGTTATATTTTTTTTTTACTGGGGGAGGTGATGGGAGAGGGACTAGCTGTTACTTGGCAGATTTTCTTCATTCTCTCCAGTCATGTCAGAATGACATTTCCCCCATCCCCTTCAGTATTTTTAGGCAGTCAGCCAGAGGAATACACTCCAAAGCTACTCAAAGACAAAATGTCTGAGTCTCATGTGTCTTAAGACACACTGACGTTCATCTGGTGCTGTAAAAGCTTGAATGAAGCCCACCCAAAACAGCACTGAATTCGGTAACCCTGGTCTGAAAACACCCTTGTGTTTACAGCTTTACCTGCACCCCCTAGAGAGGGCTGAAGGAAAAGAAACAAGAAGCCAGGAGAGCAGTAGGAGCATACTTTCCACCTTCTTCATTGATACCCTTCATGCCATTCAAATAGACTCTGGAATACACTACTTTAATTAGCAAAGCTTGTTTTAAAGTAAACAACACAAACACTCCTTATAGGACAGTCACAGTCTCCCCTGCTAGACATACAGGCTTTTTGGCAAGATCACATTCAAACAGCATGAAATTCACCCGTGGCCAYGGTCCCGAGAAGGCCCTTGCACCACTTTAACTTCCATTTAGCTGCTCTGGATAGGAGCGAGTGGTTTGTGGGATAAGGACAGCTTTCCTCCAAAAAAAAAAGATGGTCCAAATCCACGTCTGTAAAGATCAGCAGTTTTACCCCTATAAGGTCATAAAGGTGTAATATAGGCGTCATGCATAGAGTACATACCATGTTTCCACTGAGTCCTGTCCCTGAGTGACTTTGAGCCCCGTGAAAGTACAATGCACAACACGTCTGCAGCGGAGCCCTCGCTCGCTGCGTTTGCTGCACTGGGCTCTTCACTGGGAACACCGCAAAGTCATTCAGGTGACAGGAGTCAAGACAGCAGTGAGAAGAGTATCCTCATGAGGAAGCTCTGACAGGATTCCTTTTGACACATGGGAGAACATGAGAGTCCCATCTTGGTTCAKTAATTGCTAAACAAACAGGAATCGGAAATCATTAATGCGACGTTGACCCATAAACACTGATCACCGAGGCCCTGTTCTCCCCTGTGCCACRCACWGGGAACAACAGATGCTCAAAGCAAACAGGGTAAGAACAAAACAGTATGGAAATAATGTTGGTTCCTTAACAAATGTCTTACTGTAGTCCATTTATGCTGACTGACACCGGTTGTTCATTTCAGTTATAACTGTGCAACAAAATCAGACATGTCTCATCTTCCAGTCTTGATACTGAGCTGTTGCTGTTGTTGATTTTCTTTTGTTGGTCAAGTTTTTTTAGTTTTTCTTTTTTTTCCTTTTTTTCTTTTTCTTTTTTTTTGGTTTTTTTTTTTTTGTTTTTTTTTTTTTTTTTTTTATCAACACTGATACATTACAGATCTTGTTAGTTATACTTTGAAGTCTGATCATGCAGAACTACAGGCAGGTGCAACTTAGATCTTATTACAGGATGGACATGGCAAGGTGAACAGTTGTTTTTGCTAGTTAAGATCTGGAGCTTTGTTACTGTTGTGGCTTAATGTATACTGGCCATAAGTCCCACTTACCCAATTTACTAAATATACATGATTCTATATGTACACTGAAACTTCCAGCACCCTCCTTCGTCAGCATGTGACTGACTCAGGAGAAGGTCAGAGGTCAACCATATTTAGGCAAACAGCGGCCTTATTGTAAAAGATTTTAACAGAAATAGCATGTTGGATTATTACACATTAGTTACAGAGGAAGAAAAAAAAATAAATCCATACAACTATTTACATTATAAATATCTTRCTTTCCAGAAGACAAGAATGGCCCTGTTCAGTGAAAATTAGCAAATGAGACCTGTCTGAAATGATAAGCATGGTAAGGATACATTTCTTTCCCAAATWGACTGTCTTCCTTCAATATGTGCTTTTCAGCTTTTCCCTCTCAGGTAAAAAGGCACCATTAGCCTCAGTTGAAGTTTTTCAACATTCTTTTGTCAAATCAAACCCTTTTTAAAACTCAAACTTGCCACAGGTCAATGAGCCTGAACATGCATTAAGTTTAACAYTTCACCTCTTGCAATCAACAGTTGATTAAAAAAACCCAAACCAACAACAAAAAGGAAAAAAGAAAGATCAGGCCACACTGGCAAGTTCCTAATACAMTAAGCAGATTCCACTAAATTTCACTGGACAGGTGTGTTTTCCAGCTCATTGGTGAAGATGATACATTCACCATTCCCCTGCATCCCTCAAGCATCTTACCAACTAAGACATAACATATTCACATAATATTCAAACCTACTGCACAATGATTTTCTTATRTGTGTGTGTGTGTGTGTGTGTGTGTKTKTGTGTGAAAAAGATCACCTTGAGCTTGCAATTAGTTAACTGTGTCCTTTGTAAAGTGGTGGAAGTTCAAATAAGCACAGCCATCAGATTCTTGAAGATGTGTGATCATGTTACAATTCCTCTCTTTACCCACACTGAGAACTTGGATTGAGCATGAGAAGAACAGAGGTTCTAAAAATCCGTATGTACACCCTCTCTTCCCTACACACAAATACAGAAGCAAGTAAAAAGAAAAGTCTAAACATAAATTGAACCTCTAGCTCAGACCTTTAAAAGAAAAACTAATTGTTCCCTGCAGGTYTTCTTTCGTATTGCTCTCCCTGGAAGCACAGAGTTTGTTGCAAAATGCCTTTTTTGTTTGTTTGTTTTTGCATGTTTGAATTCGCACAAATTTTTAAACTCTCAATAAGCATGAAGGAAGAAATAGAAACAGATCTGAATGAATTGAAATAAATAGATCTGAAACTAAAATAATTTTTGATCCTTTGAAATACTGCGAACCTTGCAATAGAAATAAGTTAGCATTGCTCACTAGAAGTTATTTTGAATTAAAAGATTCCAATTCCATTTTATAATAATTACAGGATACTCAAAACACTTTTAAAATAAAAAAATTGGGAGATTTGCTGAAAGTGACTCTCTCAGGCAGCTCTGGAAGTTCCTATGAGCATGTTTTTCATGAGAAAATAATTTGGTAGAAAAGACATCACTGGTGCTTACTGACAAATTTAGAATACAAGTTAAGTGAGTTAAGTAGCACTACTTTGGTAAATTCCCTAAAGGCACTGCAACAGGTCTAATTTCTTCAGTATTGCTATCCCAGACTCAGAAGGAAAAGCAATATCTATGAATATAAAGCAATTTATATGAACCCAATTGCTTATAAATTTGGAAGAGTGGCGTACTGACATGATAATCTGTCTCACACAACCTTTGGAAGCCAACGTTGTGCAGGAACTGGTGATTTCCAGAGGAAAATCATCAGGGCATGAGAGCTTAGAAAGCCTGATCAGGCTTTTTGTAGCTTTGTTGGTTTTTTGGGGGGATTGTTTTGGTTTGTTTTGGTTTTTTTTTTTTTGTTTTTTTTTACACACTACCATACCTGCTCTCCAATTTAAGTCTGCTTTATGTAATGCAGGCTTGCTATCTATTTGTGCCATGGAATCCTTGATGGGAGGGGGGAACATCAACCACAATACAATTCACATAAATCACTGTGACCAACTCAAATAGCTGAGCTCTCTGAAGATAGATTGTAATGGAACAGAGTCAAAACTCACAAGATACTATTTCAGCTACCAAGTCAGTATCTAAAGACTGTTTCCAAAAACTACATTGAAAACATATATAACCTTGCATCAACTTGTAGTAAATCAATTCCTCATCCTCATTAAACTCTCTGGTGAGTAAGAAGATAGAGAAAGGGTCTTTTAAGAGCTGTTCTGGCTTCTTTTTTTTTTTTTTTCAAAGTCCTCCATCTGAAAAAAAAGCAGGGATATTTTGAAGAAATTTTCYACTCTACCTTCTCAGTGCAGCCAGTGGTCTGAGCAGCCACTGACAGTTAATGCTCCTGCCATTCTYCTCACSCTGATGATGCCTGTATACATGACTTAGCTAAGCCACTTAGGACAGAATTTTCTTGGGTATTGAGGCACTTAGGATGCCAAGGGGCTCCTAGGTACATTTTCAGAAATGCCAAGGTGTCCATCCATTCAGGATGATGTAAAGTATGCCATTTCTGGCACAGGCTCTCAGATTGCCCCMTTTGGGTGCCCAAATACCTTGGAACATCTGTCATAGATCTCTGGCTTCCCAATTTCCTTCACTTCTGCAGTGGTGGCCATAATTTTTGCTCACAATTGCAAAMCTCAGAGAATTATGTGAAAATTGTTGCCCAAGTACTACATTTACTAACATTTTAAACAGAAGTAAGTTTAAAAGATCAATGGCAAAAATAAGAAAAGCATCTATCATGATCAAGCTGAACAAAATTTTGCAACAAAGGGGAACAGACTTGAAGAGGAGGGTATCAAAATTTCTAGAATCAGGAAAAAAAAAAGTTTTTCCTTAAGACAGCCTCAGAACATCATCACTACAATCCTTTACTCAAGAGTACATATGTTGTTGCAAGGTATCAGCTGACAGCACCAAATTCTGGCACAAAGCAAAGCAAAGGATGCTATTCCTGCTTGACGGTCGCTGCTTCAGTTTGGACATACAAGGGACCAGAATTGTAAACAACTAATGCTTTTCTTCACGGATGGCTTTTTTTTTTTTTTCCTAGTGTCCAATGTGGACAGCTCCAAGTCTCCTCCCCSAGGCAGAGCTTCTCATGAAGGAGACCAATTTGAGGACAAAAAGATGCAGTAATTCTTTTAGGCCCCATTTCAGCAAGGCACTTAAGCACATGCTGATGTCRATCACTGCTGAGCAAAGGACAAAAGCACATGCTAGTTTGCAACCTTTGTAAGCATCCTCCAGTCTCCATGAGCTGTTTGAACAAGCACTGGTGCTCAGCAGAATCAGGGAATAAAGCTGTGTAACTCCTGTGCTGTGAATTCATTCAGCACTGACCAAAGGACACCTTCTCTGGTCACTGCTTCTCCACCTGCACTCATGAACCCAAACAAGACTGAATTATCCATGGGACTAAGAGTTCAATTTTTGGCTTCAACAGATGAAACATGGGAGATCTACAAGTCTCCATCTACTATAAATGGCTTCCCTGCTATTGCCTATGCTACATCTTCATAATATCACTGGCATTGGACTGGGATTACTCCAAGTTTCTACACTGGTGGCATTTTTGCAGYTTCTCTTACATACAGCTTTGCCTCWATGAGWCTTTGTTTAGTTTTGTTTAAGTAACGCACCCAAATGGTGCACACTAAGGAATGTAAAGTAGATAGTAGTTACCTGAATATTATTAATGTGTATCTATGGTGAATTCAGTCTGGAGGTGATACATTTAATTATTGCTAAGAAGTCACCCTTGGTGTTATTGCCTACATACCTACAGAGCTTTGCTGTTAACCTTTCAATACTTTTATCCTCATTGGCTTTGGAGTGAGAGTTACATCAYTCAATAATGACCTGATGTTTCATGGCTTAAGAGAGAATATTGCTAAATAWATTTAGCAGTAGTAAATTATTGCTTTTAAAATTACTGCTCTGAGTTTTTAACAACCTAATTTTATCCTCAAAAAAACTTTTGAWAAAAATCTACCAAAAATATAACCAGGGAAAAAAACCCACTTCCTACAGCCATTCTGACATAGCTCAGACTTACCAAATCTGATTTTATTTTATGTCCTCTTAATTTTTATCTCCCCTCCTCCCCACCCTGGAGAGAAGTCTTACCTTTCTTCCCTTTGAACAAAATCTGGCTTGATACTCAATTTTTTCTCCTACCACAGAACGGCAGGCTTGTAAGCCACCCAATGGAAAGTCCTATTTTGGTAGAGTTTTGAGTACAAAAGAATTAGTGAATTTTAAATATCCACTAACATAGTACAAACAGTTTCTCTCTCTGACATTTGGAAAAGCATTGGAGTAGGATTTAGCTCATTTCAGATTACATKGCACACTCTGGTAAAAGGACAGATGACTCGGATTTTAGTTAATTTCCAATTCGGATAACGATGACCTTGCAGTGGAAAATGCCAATTACTGTTTAGGCTGGAAACATATTCAGTTGTTCTGAAATTCTGTATAAARTTTAGTCATTCTCTAGTAAAAATACTTCTTGTTACTTACCATGGGAAATACTGTGTTTTATCACCTGGTAAATTCAATTTGATATTCAGTCACTGTTGGGTTCTTCAGAACTTGTCCAAACTGCCCAAGACCCCTGGCTGCGACTCTTCCAGCCCAGCGCACGAGCTGATTGACAACCTCGGCTATTAGAATGTAGGAAAACTARACCCATGCACTCTGTGCTCTTTTCCATACAACACAGCTGCTAAAACTTCTGGGGAGTCCAATGATTTGTATGAGGAAATAAACAGCCAAAAGCACCCAGAGAAGCCTGTTCTCTGAGTGGCAGAAGTGCCTGCAAGGGACTGATTAAAATGGAAAACAAACTCTAAGCTGCAAACACACACTGAGAGGGAGTGGGCTGAAAATATCCTTTCTCCATCTAACCTTGTAAAGATCTAGACRTAAAATAAAAACAAGCTGTTGCATGTCCTTCTGATCATAATCTGCCCATTCCCCAACCCTGTCATACCCTCTAATTTACAAACAWACATGTAATTCAAAATAGCGAGCCTACCTATGACCTAAGATGATAACTCACTTAACACTGACAAAAAGAAGTTGCTTACTGATATCCTTCTGGGCTTAGACATGCATAGAAACCCTTCAYTCTTGTTCCCTGTAGCTTGCAAAGATACATGTGCTTCCTTCTAACCCAGTCTTAGCTTGGCATATCTGCTCTAAAAATCAGAACAAGTCTTAACATTCACAAACTAACATTTTTCTAGGAAGCTCTGTGGCTTCTTCTTTCAATAAAACCGGYTATTATTTCAAAATATATATACAACTCTCAGCAGAAATTTGGTGCTACATCTTCAAGTGTCTGAGGGAGCCACARTTCTATGTGGTTATTTACACTTCCACAAGTCCTCATACTGTAAATGCAACCTCATCAATGAGCAAACAGATCGAATATGTATGGGTAATATCCCATATGTAGTTATGCAGTCCACCTGGAACGGGCCATTTATAGCTGTGGAGTGCCCACGAGGTGCCTGTGCAGATGTGCAGGCACACAGCTGCATGCACTGCCAGGATTCTGTTGGCACGTGTGTGTATGTACTGTTGGTGTGTGAGGAGAAATGCATGGAGATCCCTGCCTGCCTCCCTGCGCAGATGGCAGAGCAGAGAGAGTGAGAGCAGACACACACTCATACGGTGGAGATTGGCTACTGCACACCTTGTCATGCCAGTGTGAAAAAGACAGTTGCAGGTTGCTGGTTTTGCAGCCATTCATTTTACATCTTGTGGGAAGGGGGGTAAAAAAAGGATTTTTCAGTTCCTTTTTTTTTTCCCCCCCCAGTAAGCATCACTGGAAGAAGACCAAAGCAGAGCAACTATAAGTTAAATATACACTTGAGCTTAGCTGCATTACATAACTCTGTAGGAGAAGCAGGCTGAAAAGATTTTTTTTTGTTTGTTTGCTTGTTTCACTTAAATCTTTGTATTTTATTTCTCTTTCTTTTCATCTCTGAGCTCCCGTTAATTTTTTCCCTCCTAGGTTCCATCATCCTCTGAAGAACGCTGGGTTTCGCAGGCAGGCGGCTAGTCACCTGCAACAACCGAGGGGTCCCGCAGAAGCTTCCAGGCTGCTGTCCGTGTCAGACGCCAGGGTTTGATCCGTGGACATGGATGAGATGTCGTTGACAGATGAGGATGGAGGGAGGCTCTCACTGCTGTTCACTGCTGCACCTGTGCTACGAAAACGAACACCAACGTGATTAAACCCGAAACCCCAGAGTTTGTCRCACCTCAAAAAGCAAAGGGTACTCACCCTGTGGCAACAAGCATGGGAGCACACAGAGCACTTTACACAGCAGCAAACGTTAGTAGAAAATGGGCCATACAAACCTTAGGCATTGGACTATACTGAATATCTTACCAGGAAATTCTCTCCCTCAACAGTCTGCTTTGAAAAGTTACACCTYGTACAGTGTTTGTCACCCCACTTGGTTTTAGCTTCTCAGAGCTTCCAAACAYCCAACAGTCAGAGGCATGCTAGGGTCATACAGTGTGTGATGAAAACAAAASCAGACCCTAGCTATTCCTCCATATTCTTCTCATAAAATTCCAGTTTTCTTATTGACAGTCTAGAACAGTGGGTGGGATCAAATCACCCAGAGGCAATGCAGAGTGTTTTCATTCTCTTGACTAAGGACAAGGTGACTAAGCCCAGGATTTCAGTTGTGACTGTATGTTTGTACACTGAACTTTACCTTGTCTCTCTAAAATTATGATGGTACCAGATATTATGCAAAAAATCACTTTGACTTCATGAAATGAAGAATGAACCTTCTTGAGATTATCATTAATGCACACCCCTGAATATTATCAGAAATTATCTGTCCTATAAATTCAGATAACTGAATGACAAATACAAAACCATGTAAAGAATGTAATTGTCATGCACCTGTGACTGGTCAACTGTTACTGCCCATTAACCTCAGCTCAAACTAAAGTTCTCAGAGTMGCCAAAACCTGTTTGATTGGCATTTTTTCTTTCCACTGAACTTTCAGGTGATGGGTTTGTTGGTGGTCTTTATACCAAAATTATCACTGTTTCAGTCTGAGAGGGATATATTAATTTTCATTACATATTCATGACAATAAAATGTGTAATTTTGTATAATCTTGCACAGCTAGAAATTACAGCTAGTCTTTGTTCTGCAGTGGATATAATTTCATTCTTAGGTCTGAGAATTTTCTCAGCCAACTTTTACAGGCTTTCATTTCTGCAGAATAGCTAGAAGTTATTACCCGTTGTCTAATAAAACTACAAAACTCATCTRTTCCTCAGAGATTAATAGACATCTCTACAGCCTAGGCTAAATATATGATGCTATGGGCACAGGGAAAGGATTTCTGTCACTTTCCAGTTTGCAATAAAAACATTACTTTGAGAAAACAAGCCACCATACTACACCTTCAACCACTATTCTATATTCCTCAACTTCTTCCCTTTGTACACATCAACTGTAAATATGCACAAAGGAGAGACRGATATGCTCACATTCAGAGCTCCAGATGGGAACTGCTTTCTGCTGTTCTAGTAGTACATTACGGCATCAGAACCAACCTTAAATTAATTTACTCTCCTTATATATTTGGAAAATAAAATTTTGTAAGTGCTGCAAAAATACAGAGCAATCTTAACAAAGTCTGACTGGTTACTGCAGACAGCAATCATCCATCCTCTCTGCCAGAAAATGTGTTTTTCAAAGGGTTTTTTGCACGTACTTCATCATCCAGTGCAATACTGTTACTTCATGCTTACATGGTATTTAATCATGTGGCATTTTATTTATGAAAACGCTAATCAGTCAAGACAAGCRCATTTATGTGCAGTCAAAATATGACTGAATTCATTTATATTAATGACTAAACAATATATTACCTTTCTAAATGTTTGCTATGCTGGGCAGAAGCCTGCCATTAAGTCACAGATACTGTCCTATGAATCAAATGGGAAGAATTCCAGTGGCTTCAATCAACTTTTGATCAAGCTGTCGCTGTGCAGCTTTCTTTGAAGAACACATACTCAGCCAGGCAAAATAACTGAAGAAGTAGCTTTAGAAATTTCAGAAGAAAGACCGCAGAAATTGTACAGATGAAGATTTWGTTACACTCTGTCTCGTTCAATACCACTGAATTCAATAAATCCTGCCACACTCTTTTCAGCAGGTATCCATGCAGCCCATAAGTTTCTGGAAATTGCATTTTTATGGCTATTCCTAGCTTTCAACACAATTCCAATGACACAACACACAGACATGATAGCTGCTGCTGCAGTCCCAAAGTCCCCAGACTCAGAGAGTACCCACAAAAACAAATGAAACCACACTAAACTTCAAGGACAGACTTAAATAGCTCAGCAGCACAAAGCAGCACTTGGGCAGAAACACTCAGAAGCCCAAACAAAAGCTGTCCTAGGCTGGAAGGAATGCTCCATCTGCTGTGCTCAGCACCTGCCTGGTGCTACAGCAGCTTGTTCCTGGAGGGATGTATGCCAGGTGAGACAGTGCAGATATGACAGAGGTGCACTCAAAAGGAAAAAAAGCCCCATTTATAAAGTTGCTRTTTGACAGGAAGCTTCTCACTGGCTGCAGGAAAGGTGCTAAAGGTTAGAGCAGGTGAGAAACAACTTCTGGGATCTGTTCCTGGCTCTGCCACTGACTTGACAGCTTCTCTTTTAAGCCACACTTCAGCTTCCGTGCTGTAAAGCAGGGATTCCTTCCTCAGAGGAGGTGCTATTAAACAGCACCATGGAAGTGCCTCTTCCATGACTTCAGCTGTGAAGTGGTACAGACTTGGGGGTAAAAAAGCTGAAAAGAGAACTGCAGCTTTTGGTGTTTCCAAAAAAAGCCCAGTGTCTGTCTTGGGGATTTGCTCAGCTTCTTATAAATTGTGTAAATAGAAACTCTTGGCACTGAGTGTCGCAGGGCTTGGCAAGTCCATAAGCTGCTTAATTTCATCTTCACATGGCAGAAGAGAGCTAGTAAAGGTGTCCAGTAGTTCCTGGGTGATGGCACCAAAACTGCCCCAATCAGACAGCAAGTAAAAGCCAGGAAAGGAAGAATAAAATATCTATTTTCATCTAGAATGGGAACGCTAAAAACAAGCTGCACTAAGATCTGTGCTATTTACTACAGTCCATAGTATAGTAGGAGTACATTTATAGAAAGGAGAARACAGTTGAAAATGTTATGTGTGAAACTACTGCTAGGTAGTGAAGGCTGGGGGCGAGTGCGAGAGGAGGTTAGATAGTATGGACAGAACTTACATTTAATTCTAAATAATCTATAACCTTGTATTAAACTATTTTTTTCAATACTGCTGTTTGATAATGTCAATCAGAAACAATTTTTTTTTTGAGAGGCAGAAGCAGCCTCTGCTGGGAACAATTTCTGACACTTGATTTTACTCACTGGACATGGGCATGAGGGGCAGGTACTGGACTTTCCCCCCAAAGCTTAAATGTTRTACTAAAGAACAGAGCAAGAGATTGAAATCCCGATTCACAGGCACTCCAAGTGGCTCAGTCAATGGGCAATAATTATCCCTGGTGCTGTCAGCTTCAGCAGGTTACCCCAAAACTCTGATCAAGTAATCATGGAAACTAATCTCCAGCTTGCTTGCTATGATTATTGATGGARCACTAAATCTTAGCTTTCTGAATTCTTGCCAAGAACACCAACCAATGAGTAATGTGWGTGTAGAGTCTCTCTCATTTTCCTTATGCTCAGAACTGGTGTTTTACCTCTTTCTTCCAGTATTTCATTCAGCTGAAAATTTAAGTCTGGCACACAAAGTGAAGAAAAACAGGAAATCTACTGTTTCATGATACAGTCTCATCTGACAGCAGTTTTAAAATATTTGCTGAACTTGTTGGTGCCTAACATTCCAGAAACAGCCAAAGGGAAACAGCAGAAGAAATACAGGTAAAAAATTACTATTTTGTGTGTTTGAAAATGTTTTACATAAAAAATAAAAACCTTCCACATAGGAAAAAGAGAATATGAAATACATAAAGAAATCCCTGGGTAGTTAATTCCCAAAGCAAGCAATTACAATGTTTCTTGATCATGAATCAGCCTGCAACCACAATTCTGCAAGGCAGAAAAATTTAACAATGAGGAYTTATCAGATAATTGTTAGGGCCCCAGATTTCTTTTCAGTGGTGGCACCACAGTTCGGTAAATTAAATCTGCAATTTCTGTACTTTGTCTGTGACTTGGCAAGAACACAGTGGATTGTTTCCAATATATTACTTCATCCATGTCAAAATCCAGGTGCAAGGCTCGTGCTCCAATATCACCACCCAGCTCTTTATTAGCTCCCTCCACTGTTGCCATGTTTCCCCCTGTCCTGTCATTTACTAGTGATGCATTCTTGTTCTGACATTACCTTAGCTCAGCAGCAAGGGAAAAATGAGAATGCAAAAAAAAAAAAAAATCTCCATGAAAATATGCAGAGAATAATTAGTTAAATGATTTTATTTTGAGGAAAGGTAGTTTTACCTTTAAATGCTGCTGGAACACTGTGCTCAAAATCTGGGCACTTCAAGTCTGCCAGTGAAAGTGTACCTTCACAAATATGTATTTCTGTCTACTGGCAGTCACAGTTTGCATTCCTGTGAAAAGACTGTTGATGTGAATTTTCCTCAGAAAAAATTAAGTTGTGATCTTTTTTGTGACAGAACTTCCTAAGAGTCAGTGGTTGAAGACAACTTTCCCTTCTCATTGAAGAGTCATCAAACCTGTCAGCTAGCTGTTCTAATGTGATCAGACTCCTGTGAGGATAGACTGCCAGAGTASTATCACACACCTCCATGGGGCTGGGGTGGGGGTCAGGTGTGCAGTGTTGTGTGTCCAACAGATTGATTTGAGCTAACATCACCAGTTTCATTTGCATCGACTGGCAAAGTATTGGTCCAATTATCCACCCGTGTGCAGTATGAAAWTATTAGTGTGAGATAAACCTCCACACCCACAGGAATGTAATCTGTAACCACAGACCTTTCCACAGACAATGGCAGGACAATTATCTCTCAAACTGCAAGACGACCATTTTTCAAGTATTACCATGACAGTGGAGTGCAATTAATAAAGGTCAACCCATCAGAAGCACTAGGTTTCCTAAAAACCTCTTAAACGGGCTTGCACAATTGCAAGTGTAGCCTGTTTCAGCAATCTTCGTTCTCTCTTTTCCAGTACAGAACACAYATCAAAGTTATTCAATGGGGCTGAGTACCTGAAGGAGAAGGCTGTCCTTTTACTACGCCATTTTTAGTCTTTTCTTCAGAATTCATTACTTCTTTGTAGATGAGTTCTGGAAGAGAGAATTGCATCTGTTACTAGCAGGGACCAGTGCCTGTGACCAGGAACAAAATCACTATCACACAGTGCTGGAGCCTTGCCCTGAGCTCCCTAAGCCTTTGTCTTCCCAAGTCTGACAGCTCTACTTGCTACTTTCTCTTCCATTCCCCTCCTCTCCTCTCATCTCCTTTTGGAGCTGCATTGAGACAAATGGGATTCAACCAGAGCACATGAATTGTTTAACGCTGCACTATCTAGAAGAGGAGCAGCACAGTAATAAAACACTTTTTTTACTGTGGCTAAAATAGTGATGCACTGCCCTCCTGAACAGTACTCTGTTCTCCAGATGATATCCTCAGATTTCAGTGAAGCTTTTATATTTTTATTTTATTATGTTTTTGCCATTTTGCCACTAAAAYACCCCTTCCCCTGTACTTCTAAACTGCAATTACCTTTCCATTCCTCGATTGTGTGTTCCCTTTCATCCAGCTGTTTATCATATATCTGAGGAGGAGGCTGCAAGAAAGAAACAAAACTGTTTAGTCAATTGCCTGTGATATGGTAAATAATTAAGAATAATTATTTAAAGATAATTTCTCTTCTCCCTCTCTGCAATCCATCCTATACATGCAAAAACACATGAAAAACATTTGAATATTAAAGGRATTAACACTTCTGGAAGTCAACTCTTTTGGTAGAAGAAATCAACATACTTCTCTGTTTTCCTTTCTTAAACAGGAGGCATAGCTGCAGTTGAAATAAAACCCAGGTCAACAATGTCACTGTGCTTGCACTGAGCCAAGGAATTCCACACACAAATTGTTTGCACCAGCAGAAGTACCGTCAGAATACCAACGCTCATCTTCATTAATTAGCAGTAACATTAACATACTAATTTTTAAGCTGCTCTTTAGATTTGCTGCCATACAAACTTCCCAAAATAACTCTAATTTTTAAGTAAGTCTCCCTGCCACAGTTTCTAACCCATATTCCCAATTTCCAAGTTTTCCAGTATATGTACTTATATGTAACTTATATTTTTTTTTAAATTGTGTTTCTCTTAGTTGGTGGGAATGTCACAGGACTGGCAGATCCTGGAATTTACGGAGACAAAGTCACCTAGAGTTTCAGGGAGGCTGAATACCCACTTTCAGTGGGYAACTCAGCCATGTGTTCATTGCCTCTCCTGATTTTGGCTGCCAAATACAGCAGCCAAGAAAGGCAGAAGAGTCTCCCCTCCTTCTTTCTACCAAGAAGCTTCAGCATCTGAGCTAAGATGTATCTAACAAAGATGGAAGCAAGATTTATGACACTTTCCTTGCTCATATCTATTTCCTCTGACTTTCATCTTGGGCACTTGCCATTGTGTCCCTTTCAAAACATCCTCCTATTAAATACATGCTTACCAAACTGTTTCCTTGAATCATAAAAATTCAGAAATTTTCTCTTGGGACTCTAACTCCATCAATCCATTAAGCCATTTGCACACTACGAATACAACTGAAAATGTWATAGCTCAGTGACATGATATGGATCAGGAAAATTACGTGATAGCTGAAGTGGACAAGTCCACTGAAAGCAAGAGAAGTTTCCTCAGAGTGGCATTTGTGTCAGGGCTAAAGATAAGGTGAAGTCATGGATTGCCAAGTCTCATAGCTGAGAAGGTGCTGGGATAACACCCTGAGTTACAGTGAGTGCCAGGCCTCAGCAGGGGTACCTGAGGTGTTTCTGTATCAGCAAGATACCCTGTAAGGGTCTGAGCCCCAAACCAATGCAGCTGTTCCCTTATTCAGCATAACAACCCTTCTCAGTCCTTTCCAGGGAGCCCTAATGCCACCAAGATCAGTGCARCCTCTGTGGGGATTCTGTGTTTCTGCTGACGGTGCTGCCAGAGAGGGGGATTCTACAAGACTGAGGTGATCCTCACCACGGACCAGTTGGATGGGACAAACAAGCTCCACTCCTCCATCTGAGCTTGCTGGACTCCTGCTCAGCCACTCAGCCAGCTTTGGAGCATGCATTTCCTACTCGGAAAAGCAGAAAAAGCTGGCCAAGACAAGGAAATTGGGGGCTAGGAATTTACAGGAGCAGCAGGGGAGGCATTTGGCTGAGCTGCAGCTGAGCCACAGCRACAGAACCACCTCTTCTCTGCCAGGTGCAAAGGAAAAGGGCAAACCAAGTTGGACAAGAAGATCCTGAAAGTACCTTCCTTTCTAAAAGCTTCAGGGAAAGKCCTATGAAAAGCACTGGTGGGAGTAAAATTGCATCTATCAAGTATGAACACTCTTTTTACACCTTCCATAGAAAACCTAGTATTTCTCCCCCAGACAGAAATAAGAGGAAAGATTCCTTTACTACTTTAATTCCCGAACATAAACTGCAGAAAAAGGAATGAATGATCAGATGCACATACCAGTTCTCAATTCACACAGCCACAGAATCTTTGGCTTATGATTCTTCTAATTTTTCACCTATATCTTAAACTGGGACATTTGACTAATACACAACAAGAAAATCAGTARTAATCATTGCYTAGAYTAACACATTCTGGAAACATTTTCCRGGGAGAGAGCCCGGAATAACCTCTCCTGCTACCAAGCTCCTATTTTTCTACAGAGTGAAACAAGGGAGAGCAACCAAACTGTCCTTCACACACTGCAGGATGCCAGAAGCTGCACCTGCACAGCATTCCACTGCTCTGCCAGGGTTTATTTTGCAGACTTTTACTTGTGAGCTAGCAGAACCCATGGCTATAAAACATGGCTCTTGGCAGGCATGAGAGAGCCAAGGGTAACAAATATTCAGCAGGATAGTGGCATGAATAAATAAATCCCTGCTCTTCACAGAGGCAGGATCTATAACTATAAAGCCTGTCCATYGCACAGTTGAATGGAGCTCTACTGCAAGGCCAGGCCAGTGCTTCACACTGGGAGAAGTGAAGCTTTCCCATCAAAATGCCCTGAGCTCTCGTATTTTCAAGGCACAGAGATGAGCTGAGAATACAAAAACTATTTCAAGAATTTATTTTCCCACAACTCTCTTTAATCCCAATGAGAACCACAAAACTTATCACACTGTTATCAATACATTGTAATCCCCTCCAGGGTGATCACCCTTTTTCTGCTAACTTGTTTGCTTTGTGGTAGGTTTTAAAGCCAATTTCTAAAATTAGAGGGAGAAGGGAGCTTTTAAAAGATAACACACAAGTATTKTCACAGCAATGGAGCAATCAGCTGCTGCCATACCCAGGTCCTCCTGGGCACCTGATTTCAGTCTTGGTGCAAAGGTTGCCTAAAACTGACTTCGCTACTTAAATCAAACATCTTTGAAAATGACTGAGTTCATAAGCATTAGCTTTCCATGTGGATGCAGCTGCAGGGTTGCAGTAGTATAAATCCTTCATACTGCACACACCAGCTGAGAGTGGTATAATTTATTAAGTGTTTAAAAAAAACTGGATGTGGCACTCAGTGCCWTTAGYTGATAAGGTGTTAGGTCACAGGTTGGACTTGATGGTCTCCAAGTCTTTTCCAGTCTAGTTAATTGTATGATTCTCTAGGTCTCAGAAAAAGTATATAGTGCAACTGGCATTAAATCAAGGCAGGGTGTGGATCAATCCTATGGGTGGCAGCATCTAGCTTCAGTTTAAGGCAGCCATTTTCTCCCCAAACAAGACTGATTTGTAAGCAGTTGCATTGGCGAMAATAATGAAGAATAGAATCTATTTCTGGATGTGGAAGCAAAGAAATGAATTAAATTTTTCTTGCAGATATTAAAAAAAATCCCCTTGTTGTTTCCATGGGGCTTGGCTTTTCTATTTTACAAATTGATTTTCAAACTACTTTTGCATTAAATGTAACATTCATTCAACACAATAAAAACTAAACAAAACAAAATAAAACAAAACAAAACAACCAAAACCCCCCCAAACAATAGAAAATATCCACATGGATCTTTTTCTGGGGAAAAAAAAAAGAAAAAGGCAAACCAAACAAACAAATAATCAAAACCCACCAAATAAAACCAAACTAAAAAGCAAAATACACAAAAGGCAAGGGGGATTTATGTGGCCTGATAAACAGCAGGAGACTACTGGATTTGTTAAACACCATTCTAATATCCAGGGAGGGGAAGGTTTTCACAAGAGAAAAARGCAAAACATATGTTGAAGCTGATGTATTCTCATTTTCCCAAAGCAACACAGATTAGTTCGTATGCCAAAGCAAAGGGGCTGAAAAGCAAAGGGCTGGAAAGCAAAGGGGCTGAAGCTCCCACTTGGGCAAATCACGCCATCTCTGCCTCTGCCTCTGCAGAGCCAGTGCCAGCACAGTGGAGACCTTGGGATGAGCTGTTTTTAGAAAGCTTGGCAGAGCAAGGCCTGAGTCTGCATCTGTTCCCAGCGTGGCAGGGTCCAGAGCAATAACTGTGGTGTGGCACAACAGGACAGCGATAGTTAGGAGTATGGAGATAAAAGAGGGAACTGGAGGCTGCAAAAGTTAATGGTGTGAGGTTAAACATTTTGTTAAATAGCTTAGATCCTCATAAAAGTGAGTATAAAAATTCCTTGGTGTTTTGCTACAACCTAAATTGTGTTACTGATACCATTTATATATTTATTCTTGCAGTGCAAACCCTAGTGCACCACCGTGCTTGTCACCAGAGGTCTGGCATCCCTATCTAGGAAGTTCTTGGGATTTCACCCTGCATTGCCAAGGGATTCCACAGTGGGCTGGGCATGACCTCAGCTATGGATAYGGAAGAAAAGATTACTCTAGACCCATGCATTCCTTGGAATCTCTGCAGAGACTTTTGGAAAACTCCACGCATAGTGTGCATCAAAGAAACTGCAGCCTGAGCTGTTTGCGAACAGCTGGACCATAAGGATGCCATGCAGCAGGAGTCAGSATTACTTGGCTCCACACAGATGAGTGAACAGCTTGCAGATACAACAARCAAGCTGGGAAAAGATTAAGTTTGGTTCGAAAAAGAAGAAAAGAAATGCCTCTTTCTTCTCTAATCACACCTCCTCACTGACATTAACAAAGGTTTTTGTAGAAGCTGTGCTCAGCTTCCATAATCAATCAGCTATAAATGGCTAGATGTTGTTGACTAGAGGAAATAYCCGTGCTTGTGCAGGAAGCAGAGCTGCACACTTCTTTCGTGAGACAACAGATGCACACCATCAATCTCTAAGCAGAAAACCAAACCCTGTACCTGAGTGCTAAAAAATGTGGCAGCTCATCGAAGAGTTTAGTTAYAACACCTATGCACACAGAGCTGAGYKAGAGAAAAGAGCACCAGAAAAGATGCACAACCTGACAGCCTTGCTTTTGTCATGAAATAAAGGTGACACCTTCTTTGAAGAGTTTYTGGGAAGGCCACAGAGCTATCCAAAGTGCTTCTCCATCATGATGGATGCTCAGCATTCACACGTAAAATAAGAGGTGGGTGAGRTTTTTGGGTGTTTTTCTACTGAAAAACTATGAACCTTGAAATGAATTTAAACCAATTGTATTTAACAGCTGGTCACAGATAGTTTATATAGRGCTAAGATAATACAGCAGCAGTTTCTGTCCTGGACCTTAGACTGAGACCCATAAACCAAGTTCTCCTCACAAACAACATTGGAAACAGCATCACATTAATAGAGGGTAACACACAGATTGGCATGCACAGAAAAAATGAATGATAGTTCACAACTCAGCCCCTTGTGGATGTACCTAGATGCAGAAATAATCCAGTGAAATAGATATCCTACGAAAATAAAACCAGTAATGAAAGCTGTGAGAATTAAAGTTAATAAACCCCCACAAAATCTATCAATGTTGTGAAATTCTGTCAACACAGAGAAAAGCTTAAAAGGAGTATTTTTAACATCTGATTTTTTCTGTTTCATAGAACTCTCTTCTAAATGGATGGCATATATCAGATAACAAACAATAACGACAGGTACTGCAAAATCCAAGACAAATTTTGAAACCAGTTAACAGAAAACATCATACAATACTTTATGGCACATTTTGCTACTACATTGTTTCCCATGAGGTGGGACAATACTTTTCCCAAGTAGGWATCAATATGAGATCACACATATATTCAAAAGGTTACCAAATGGAATCTAGTATGAAGTGAAGGGTTTCTTCAAATATATCAATATCAAAAGGAAGAACTTCTTTACTATGGTAAAGGATATGTCTAAGAATCCATTTTGTTTACGATTTGAATATTTTGGGATAAAAAACAGTGATCTGAAAATAGGCATRAGCATTAGCATAGATATGAAAATTTAAATATCAGATTTGGGGTTTATTCACAAATCATTTCAATGAAGGTAGAGAATGTATAGCAACTTCAAAAAAAAAAGGCAGCTGTGTAAATGGAAACAATCTCAAGCACAGCATTTTCAGACAGGAAAACAGAAAAGCTAATATGTCATCAGGGAGATACTGAGATTATCTACAATAAACAGGATAGTCTTCATGTAGAGGCAAGAGGTATTGGAAACCTCTTCTTTCCTAAAAATAGAACAAGAGCAATTTGAGGGAGAAAAGGTATCGTGTGTGTCATTTATTCATGATAATAGTCCAAATGCTGTTATATAAGTAAATATCATAACACGAAAATAATAATATTTGTTTAAAGGTGGATCTGAGACAGTTTATGCATATAACTTCCAGGAAGGAGTCTTGAACTGAAATGCAAAACAGAGAAATAAAGTCTATAGGTTCCTATTCTGATTTTACAATAGGTTTCCTGGGTAATATTAGCAAATAATACTTTTGCCCTGTGAACTCTTGTTTCCCTACATTTAAATTAGGTGTGAAGATTGATAACCTATTTTAACAGTTCCTAAAATCTTGTGAATTCCACACAATCCAAGCCTTATATTATCTGTATGGTCTCCTATTTTTTAAAAACACCAATTTTAGCTGTAATTGGCTGAATACAGAAWTTTTAATACCTGAACTGTAAAGCTATTCAAGCAATTTCAGATCAATGATGCATGCTTTGCAGGACCTAAAACTGTGACTTTCTTATCAGAGATACTGTGGTAAGCTGCAACTGCACAAAAGAACCAGGCAAACCACCGATGTTAAGACTAAAGAATTCCCTCCAAATCCAAAATCCACCAGGTAAGCTCAAAAGCCATGCAAGGCCTGTTTCTAGCTGTATGCTGACCGTTTCAGAGCTGTTCAGGGCTTTGACTGTGGTTTGTTTCATGCAGAAATTCCGAGGCAGAGTCACAGCAGTGCTTGAAACCTGCGGTTTGTGAAAAGCAAGTCCCACATCTCATAACAGCTCCTCTTCCTCTCCGTGTCAGGGAATCATCCTTGGCATTTAAGGCCACCCAGAAGAGTTTAATGCTGTGACACATTGAGGGGGAAAGGGTATTGCATTCCTACCTCTTCCCGTTTGTGCGCACTGTTTGCCCATTAGAATGAGACGTAATAGTTCCATTGCCCCCGTACAGTCTCTGAAAGGCCATAAAATTATAACAGACTTATAAAAAGGCACTGTGACTGTCTCCCTAGTCTGCTTTTTAACTGGGTAGGGCTGTTTTATCTGTTTGCCTCACGTTTATAATGCTGTACATCTGGGCACACACAGGGTTGTTACCTCCAGGTTAAACTTTGACACCAAATTCTCTGCTCACTCCCTGAGTTGGCTTCAGTGCTCTTCATTGTCTGCTCCAGCGCAYGCTGACATTTAATGACATTGCAACAGCTCACTTCAAAATTCCTGTCACATTAAATGCTTTCAGTTACCTGTCCTCTTTATGCTTCTGAACAGAATGGACACTACAACAGATGCCTGGCTGCTTTTGATGAAGCCATTTACTGGGGAGAAGGGGGAATCTAACTAGACAGTAAAAGTTACCTAATTCCCCCGTCCTCAGTACTCTACTGGGTGAAAATGTCATCTTGATTAATGACTCTCTATCCTAATTTCTATCCCCGCTGTACAGGGCTACTGATAGTGGGAGGAATCCTACTTCATGTTACAGTATGGGAGGAGAACTTAAAAACACCCCAAAACATCCCACTACCAAACCTTTCACTACATGATGAAAGACTTCACTCCATGTAAAAGTGCTTATCAAGTATTACCAAAAAAGAAGAGTGCAGTGAACAGTCAGATGCAACACACTGCTGGCTTCAAAATCCCAATGGTGGGAGGGAAAAATGGTGGGAAGTTAAGCATTATGCAAGAGACCAAGCAGAACTCTGTCACTAATTTYCCCCTTGCTCTCTTGTCAGATTCCCTGGCTGCACATTTGCAGGGCAGYCCATGAAAAAGCAGGGTTGCTTCACAGAGYCTYATCACGCTGCAATCTCACATTAATGAGCCACATAGCCATTTTTAGGCTGTGAAATGTCACTGAAATATTATTTCTTTGTTCAGTTGGACCCTATTATAGCTTCTGTGGTTTTGCTCAGTTTAGACAAATTCACAGAGTCAGATTATTAAGTGAATKAGCAAAAGTATCTACCTCTTAAACAGCTAATTTGTTGGATGTTTTTAGACGCCTACTGACTTCCACCCCTGCTACAAGTTTGGCAAGATCTAACATAAATACATGGAACAAGCCATTTCCCCATTGTCCACGGCATGCTTAATGCATAGCATTAGGAAATGTTTACGGAATTTGATCCTAACTCTTCTGCAACTATAACCGGGCCAAAATCTCAGTGGAGTACATATAGGAGAATGTTCTTCTGAGTAAGAACAAAATAGTWTTTTTGGTAAGTTTTCTCCAGGAAATAATTAGTAAATGATTCATAGCTAACCACTGAAGGTGTGTCAGCATGAACASATGGATATTTATAATTTAATAAACTGTTCCTTGCAAAAACAAAGTCTTCAAATTTAACCTCCATTTTGAAAGTGAGATTGGCAAAACCAAGCCCTATAAAGCATTTCTAAATAACACCCTCTGCAAAAATCCCATGGAATTTTGGTGAGGGTCAGAGCATTCCATTTCTGTTTGAAGTTTACTGCATTTCAAAAACACAGATTGAATTGAAGCACATAACCAAACAGCAGTGATTTAACTTTACAAGTTCTTTGTTTCCTGTGGTGGCTAAGTAAGATTTCTAAACCTTGTTTAGAAATCTTAAAGTTGAAATACTGAGCTCTCTTTTCATACATTTTATGGAGGGTATTACAGAGCACCTCTCTGAATTGATGCCTATACCCCTTATACCATACCACGTCACTGAAGAACTGACAGATTGCACTTATCCCTGCTAACATCAGCCTCACCAAAGTATACAGAGAGCTGTCTACAGCATGACAGGATTATCAGAAAAAATCCATTTCTGTTTGCACACAGTGTACATGATACTGTACACTGAACTGTGGCTCAGGAAAACACATGAGYCTCTGCTTCATTTTACAGAAGTATTTATGCCCTGCTAAGATTTTTCTGATTCCTTATTTCAGGATTTTTTTCAGAATCCCAACTATTGTTTTGCTTAATTTTCCTCCTCTCTACATATGTCTTTGAACACAAACATAAAACATGATGTTTGCTGTCTTTCACGGGAAAATGTTTGGAAAGAAAGATAGTATCTTTTGCCAGATTGAGTTCTATAGCTAAAAAGGGGAGCTACTGTGTTCAAAATCCTTTCTAGAAGAAGGCAAAAAATGGCTTCATATGCTCCAAGTGTTTTTGTGTCTCCCATCTATTATCAGTTAATCTAATAAAGAGAGATATCCTGTCCCTACAGATCTCATTTCACATCAATCCCTGGACCACCACGGTGCAGGCATTGTTCCTTTATAGCATGCTCATTATCGTGCTGCTGTAAAGCAGCAGGAGTCCATGAATCACATTTGTGTTCAGCATTCTGATGGAAGCAGCGCTGCCTCACTTACCGCCTCCACCTCTGCTGGGTCGTACCAGACATTAATGTATGGATGCTGTAAGGCTTCATCTACTGATATCCTCTTGGCCGGATCAATGACCAGCATCTTGGATAAGAGGTCCCTGGCTTGGCTGGCTGGAACAAGGAAAGCAGAGAAACACAGTGTTAGTACAAAACAGCCTTYAGAGGAGGGATAATAGGGTGGGGAAATAGCAGTGCACAGCCTTTTTAGAGACTCTGTGTATGTACTTCTGCCCCTTGCCTTCTCACAGCAAGAGCTCTTCAGTAACCATTTCAGGTCAGATTCATTAGAAAGGTGCCAACATCAGGGCTGAAACTGTAAGTCCCCTAACAAGCTTCAGTGAGATTTTCCACATATGTGGATTCCACGGAGAGGGCTGAACAATATACCCAAGAAAAACGTGTTTGATATATCTGTGATTATTATCAGGATCAGAGTACACAAGTTCACATAATGAAGTCCAAAATMATTGCATTACTAAATCAAAGCCTGAAACTTACAGACACTCTTAAACTGCCTCAGAAAAACAACCACACTTCTCTGGATGTTTTAAAGTTTTTCACCTAACCTGCTGTGTGGCATTAAACATTTTAATGAGGCATAGATATGAGGCTAATCTTATGGCAACCCCTTAGAAGCAATAATTTCAAATCTGTAGCCTTGGCACCATAGTGGTAGGGAAGTGTTTTAGAACTGGTTGAGTCTTGTTTGTCCTGCATAATGAAGTTTAAATCAGTGGGGCACATCATCCTCCACTACATATATATATGTATACATTTATACATGCACATTGAATTTTACATTGCAGCATTGATTTATTTTACCTGATAAAAGATCCCATTTTGCCTATCAGGYCACAAACTCAGATTAATATTACCCAAATGTATTTTTACTAGTTGGAGTTTGTAAAAAATATAATATCATCTCAACCCACACGAAGAAATTATAACAACATATATTTCTATTGTTATTATTATTAACTGTGTAGTGTTCTRAGCTCTCGGATGCTCAAAATTATTTGCTGTGTAAGTGAAAAAGACAATGAAAGGAAAAAACTGCAAGGAGCAGTAAGTGCAAAATATTATTAGGTATCGCACCATACATGGGTGAGTATCTAATTAAATCCTTAACATTACATTATGGTGAAATATTTAGGCAGGGCATGGACGATACAGTGCTACACAAGTAGGGTTTTTTTAATGCACCATTTCTTGCTCTGTCACTGTATCTTAAAAACAGGCATTCAGGATGCTCAAATGTACATGCTTTCTGTATCCAAAAGATAAAGCACTGTTTGACAGTAATTTCTATTCATTAACYGCAAATCCAGGAAAATTCCATTATTCAGTTGTGATGTAGTAGGAGTATAAAATTCTGTGTATCCAAAAGCATCTGCTCAGACCTTTCACTTTACTCACAGAGCCAAGACAGCAGCTTGGCTATGAAGCAGTTGTTAACTGGAAGAGAATTCTGGGTCGTGTAATGACATGCAAATTGCAAGCAATTGAAAACCATTAGGTGCCACYGTGGTGAGTGGCTCCAAATAGTGGAATGGTGCAGAGCCAATGTGCAGCACAAGTCTGYAGGGTCTCCAGAACTGAGTAATAACACACAGTAATCACTCCTTCCAATTGAAGGTCAATGACCCTTTCAAGGAAAAAAAGACTTTAATATATGATTAAAATCATGGCAACTTTTCTTCTGCAGGGGGATATCTAGTCACACTGTAATTAAGTCAGTTTTCTACTTTTCATATCCTAAGTGACCAACAGCATTTTCCCAAAAGAACAGACCCACCCCAGTAGTATTAAACCTCAGCTACATCATTTTGGCTGATGCTGGTAATATCTTTGTACTTTCTAGTAAAGGTAGAGCTATGAGGCAGGCATCTGGCTGAGCTGGTATTTTTCACCTAAAACAAAGCAGTGCAAGTGCTGAGATCTCCCAGTGGAAGTTCTATTGTTCCTTCGTGTTACAAATTCAAGAATAAGAGTAAAGGGACACCTTGATTCCTCATGGAACAGGACCATCACATGGAACACCATGGGAGTATGCTCAGTGCATCAGYGATTATGTTCCCTTGGCTGCCCAAGCATCAGGATCTCCAAAAACCATTTCCAAAGCCTGCCTCTCAGCTGAACAAAACCCATGCAGTCACTGATCTGCAACTAACTGCATTAAATGGAGTGCAACTAGAGAGAAGAAAAATTGGAAAAACMCTTCATTGCACTGCAGCTGTTGCACATGAACCATGTCCCTCTGTCAGACATACCTTTGAGTTTGTTGTGTTCTGAGTCCGCTGGGAAGAGAGAGTCTGGAAAAAGTTTGGGGAAAGTGAGRCCAGCATACTTGGGTCTGTTCTCAACGTAGTTCCGTACTGTTGGCTGCAGCTTCTTCATGAATTCTGGACACGGCGTTCCCAACTGCTCGATAACTTTATTCCACTGATCAATATCTGAACACCAGTAGTTAAGGGAAACAGAATGCAACCCCACATGTAGCCTCCTGACATTTCTCTCTGTGTTCTCTGAGAATCCTCAGAGGTATTTAACTCCCTTCATAATATCTTTACAGTCACTGTCTTTCCTTCTCTTCTCACTATACCTCCAGCCTGCAAAGGGAAAAACTCTCTCACACAAGAATATTCGCTTAAGGACATTGTGCAGTCCTAAAACCATGAYCACCACAGAACAACATACAGATTCCTCTCTTTGGGTCAACACTTGTTACTGTTTTTTAAAAAAACACAACTTGAAATCCAATGACTTGCACTCCCTTTTTTTACATGCAGATAATTGCCACTACATCACCTTGGAAGAACGTGTGCACCTGCCCTCTCCATTCAGTCTCTGTAGAGAGGGAAATGCAGCTGACTTAAAGAAGTTCTGCACAGGACAAAAATCTTCTTGCACTTATCTGCTTTGTACTTGTATGTTTACGCTCTCCAATAACTTCATTTGTGCTAACTTTTTTAATACCAGCCACCCCTCAAAAGCAATTTGTCCCATTTTATAAGAACACACTGGGACTCATTTTCTACAGACAAATGATGCACAGGTGTAGAGAGATGTTTACTGGAAAATGTGACAGCTACATTGCTCAACTGATACTGACTAATGAGAAACAGGCTCTAATGCTTAAAAAGAAAGTGTATTACAGGCATTTCATACTGAGCTTTTTTTTTAGCTTGAGGTATTGACTTTTCAGTTTTCTTGTGCTAACATTTAGGCACCTGACAGGTGTTATGTAGCTTTTTCAGCCATGGTCAGAATAAGACTTACTATGCTAACAATAAAAAGCAAATTGCCAGTAGCAACTCTACATCACAGTAATCCACAGAGCTAAGAACCTGATGGCTACATGGGAAAAAAAAAGGAGGATTACATGCAGCCATGGGTACATTGATACTAAGAAATATGATGAAGGGAGTTTCATTAAGAACACACTGGAAAGAAAAGGCTTTTAAAAGACAAACATTCAAAGCATTTCAGCACTGAGATTTTTTTTTTAAAATTATTCTTTTAAGTTATTATGGCTATGAGTTTCATAAGTGTGGAGGAGTTTCCCMAATACTAAAGATGGGTAACAAGAAAAAAAAAGTCAAGCCAAAACCAGTTCTTGRTTGCAGTRGCAAYTTCAGATTAAAAAAAAAWAWTYYAAGGAAATCARAAGTTTTTTAACGTACCTTGAAAAGTAAAGACAGACTTMACTCAGATTTACCCTAAACTGTCTTATTTGAATTAAAAAAAAGAAAATAAATAATTTAAAACTTGCAGGTTTACTAATCAAATAAACAAATTAAAATTCTAAGAGGATTTTACATTTTAAATAAATTCAAATTCTGAGAGGATCTTGAATGGGCTTGTTTTCAACTGAAAAAGGCTGCTAGAAATAGCAGCAGACTGTAAAGATTTTTCTGAATACCTTTTATTTTTTAAACTAAAATGAAGATTTGTGTAGAAAAGCCCCTCCCCCCCACACAACTCCATAGGCAGCACGTAGCTTATATTATGTTGTCCATGAATTTTTTTTTTTCTCAACAGAAAACCAAACAATTGCAGCAACAATAAAGTTATCTAAGACTTCAGCTGCCCAAAGAATAACCTGAATATTTCATTAAATATTTTATTAGAAAATAAAGTGGTTTGACATTTTAAACTTGTATTCAAGTTAACAGACCTCAGTGATTGTGGCTGCACTGCTTCAGAAGTAGATCTGAGGTGCCTGAGAATACCGAGTGTGTAAATGCTTTGCAGACAAGAACAGAGAGCACAGAAATGAAGAGGCTGTTAGTTGTGCCAGGAGAAGCTAAATGRGTGAGAAAGCCAAGCTCTAAAATCATCACTGGAAGTGTAACCTGTGCATGTTGAGTGAAGKGTTTGATAAATGGTGAGGGCCAAACACAGGATTTGCATCAAAGGTTACCCTGGTACAGAGCAGCTGAACCATCTCCCAGGCATTTAATCATGGCCAAAAGGAAAATGATCTCTGGGATTACAGCACTTTGGGGGACTTGGACACATTGAGATGGAAGATGCAGTAAGATGCYCTAGACATGAGCAAGAAGGGAAAAAGAGTACAAGAAATCCCCAGAACAGCGCCTGCATGGTAAGAACGCAGTGGTGATGGAGAGAAGAGAAGGAAAATCCACATGCAACAGGCCACTGCACATGTTTCTTCTAAGCTGACAGAACAACTCTCACTAAGACACAACAGACAAGCAAACCACCACATGTGACTGGGAGATTTTAAGAGACGGAGACATCAGTGCAAAAAAGAGAGCCAAAGGTAAGGGAACTGGAGAGCCACCATGCTCTGCTGCTTGACTAGACTTGGTTCGCAGGACAGCACTGGACCTTTTTCAGCCCTGGCTCACACCAAGAAATAAAAGRTCAGGCTTTATGTCACAGTAACCTCAGGGACATGTTTTGGATAACTGAATTATCTGAATGGGTTATTGTGCTACTTTACTGCATTATGTTGCTCATATACTGCCAAAACCCTTAAATAAAATACATTCACATGCACACACACACACACAAACTGACATGATGGAGCACTCAGGACTGGTTTTGTCCTGAAAACAGCAAGAACAAAACCATGCTAAGTGAAAGCAGATAGACCATTTTTTAGTCAGATGGACACACACATTTTCCCTCTAGTAATGGTTGTCCCTTTACCTATACCTTACAAACACTGGATTATATTCTGAGGTCCAATACCTGAAATTGTGCAAGAATGTAACAAAGCTCTTGCAGAATGCTGGTCCATCTCCATTTCACTCTGATGTTTTAYACAGTCACCACATGTGATGCATCTGTGATGCACCTGGAGATGAGAAGTTGTATCCATCATGGTATCAGATTAAAAAAAAAAAGTCTTGGAAAAAAATCTGAGGTCAYTTATCAAAGCAAAGATAAGCAGCTTTCTCTAGCTGGCAGTCAGCATTAGCTCCAGCAATTCTGCAGGAAACGAATGTTACTACAGGACAGTCCTAATGTGAATCAAAATCTGCAGTTGRTTACATTAATCAGTTAGAGATTGTAACTATAGATGTTATTGAAAAATGGTACTAAAAGTTAGTGATCACATAACTCTGACAGAAGTTTCCCAGAAAAAAATAAAAACCCCTTTAAGAAGAAAACCAGAGGACCCTGTTTTCCCCCTTGAAATTAAGCAAATGCTAGACAGACTGAAAGTAGGAAAGAATTATGACCCCAGCTCTGGAAAATGATGAAATGTCTGCTTAAAAGCTATTTGAATCAGTTCAGCTGTCCATTGCCCCGTTGCTCTTTCTGGATAAATGTGCTGCTTCTGGAGATAAYTAAAACTAGGACATGTCAAACCTTGCTTTGGTTAAGGTAGGCACAAAAAAACAAAACAGACACAGGAAGTTTGTAACAGACAGGGGAAGATMATCTCTTTTCAAACACAAAATCTTGAGGGCGCCACCTTTCTAATAGTCTTCAMCTTAAACCTGCATATTCCACCAACAAAAACTAACTGCTCCATTTCAAGCAAATTTTTGGTCCTCCTAACTTGTCAAAATTAGAATAACTACTATGAACAGCTCTGCATTTCCCTCCCTAAATTGTGGCAACCACTGCAAAGTTGRTAGGTCAACTTTAAAATAAAAATTTTAATTGAACCTTTCTTTTTAAAAAGAAATCTGTTAAAAAAGACACTAACCAGCTTTACTGTGGGAGACATCAGTGTCACATTCATATTTTTCCACAGTCCCACAATTTACATATTGTTGCCATCACATTTTCAAAAAAAAACCCACACAAAAGAAGTTGAAAATGCTACCATCTGACAAGAAAGCAGCTATAGAGCATTTTATGTTCCAAGGTGAATAGTTTGAGAAGAATGTGGCATTTGTAAAATTAGACTGCAACAGAAAATACTGTGCAACATTTCRAGTAGTAGTTTCTATTTTTATGGTATAATAGAATATGTGGTGATGATTAAAACAATTTGTAACACAAATGAATTACTTCACAAGATTACTATTGATCATTCAGGAGTGAGGAGATTGTGCAGATGTCATTAACATTTTGGATGCACATCTGTGACAACACCTTAACCAAAATTTTCAAGTACTACTTTTTTTTTGCTGGTATTTCATTCAGTTGCTGAGTATCTGTGCTTACACAGCAGCAAGCAAATCATAAAATCATAGAATGATTTGGGTTGGAAGGGACCTTAAAGATCATCTCATTCCAAGTCCCCTGCCATGGGCAGGGACAGCTTTCACCAGACCAGGTTGCTCAGAGCCCCAGTCAACCTAGCCTTGAACAATTCCAGGGATGGGGCACCCACACAAAAATGTTACAAGTGTTTATAAAAGCCACCTAGGAGTCTAAACAGGAAGTAGGATCTGAGTGACAGAGCACAATCCTAAAATGTTTCTGTTGTTACTGTCAGTGAAGTTGTTAGGGGCTCAYAGTTTGCTTCTGTACCTCAGTGTACCTGCAACAACTTGGGTACGAAATCAAGAATAGACTCCTCAAGCTCAAAACACAGAAAACAAGTTCCTGGAAACTGTAGGATTGCTCCTGTTCCTGAATCAGGACAAAACAGATTCATTCTGTGTTTTCATTTGTGTAATCATTTGTGTAATCAAGTTCCTTTTACCCTTTACAAATGAGCTTTCACACCAGTTAACAGTTACTCAGCTCACCAGTGTTTAAGGAAAGACAAACATTGGCCTTGAAGCTCTGCAAGAATATTCAACAGCATACACCATTCTATATATTCATGTATCTATCAGTCAATATTAGCTGAGTCACCTCCAGCAACCTTCAGCTCAGTCATATTCTACCAGTCTTTCACATCAATTCTCTCTACATTTCCTCTGACTTCCAAAAAGCAAAAGCTGTACTCATTGTTCAAAGGATGGGAAGTAAGTTAAAAGACTAAATAAATGCTAAAATAGAAAAATTCCACGAGAAA